GCCATATGCACCATCTTTGGATGTTCTAAAATCAAAATCTCCTCGATTTTTCTTGAGGTCTGCATCAGACGCAAACTGACAATATCCTAGCTGATTTTTTCTTATAGTTCCCGTAGCCCTCACGCCTTTATCTGTTAGGGATTGTATTAGGGGCAAAGTGGTGAAAAAGTTATCGAAATAAATACTGCACGGAAGTTCTAATTTCGAAAGTAAAACATCAGTGTACTCCAATACAAGAGAAGGCCCCAACCCTAAGTTTTGTAGCAATTCTTGATCTCAGATTTTGCTCCCTGATATGGTTCATACCAATAGCTGAAGCACCAACCCATAGTTTATACCCATACCTTAACGGCTTGCCTCGTATAAACTGTTTCCGGCCGAAGTAAGGTACCATAGCTTCCTCGACGCAATGAAACTCATCAGTTGGGGCGAAATCAAGAAATCGACTATTTATTTTATCACAAAAGGGCCGACCTTAGCAAATCTATCGTTCTTGTCCAAATTATTGTTATGTTTGGTCGGCATAAGCCGCTCTGTCCCTTTACTTAGAGCGGCATATGCCGCTTTGTCCGCGAACGTGTTAAAATACTTGCACTTATTTCTGGGGCACCGTGTATAATAATAAAGTACCTGCGTTTGAAATTAACCCACAACCTCCGCAGCTGCTGGGATGTTCTTGGAGTGTTAACTTCGGGCTGGGCGTTAAAAAATCTTGTAAGAACCTCCTAGGCCCGGTTTTTTCCATTGACATCGTCCCGTCTGTCCGTTTGTTCTCTATCATCGGATGTGCCCTTGCCAACTCTGTCTAAAGCATTTTTTCTCTTTGCGTGTAGCTCATCTAATTTTAGGGATGTAACAAATTAAAAATACTGTGTACAGTTGTCATGTGCTTCATTTATTACTTACCTTGAAATATTTATTAAAAAAATACAATATTAAAAACTGTATATAATACCGAAAACTTGTATGTAAACGTACAGACAAAATTTGAAATTTGAAAAACTACGCCAAAAAAATTGAGGTTAATGTGAATCTCCAGTCAGTCTCTTCATTTTAACGTTTTTTTTTCTCTAGCCTTTTATCGTTTCTGGTGGATAAAAACGAATTCCCTAGATCCAATCTATCCTAACCTAACCTAACCAAAATCCTGGGTAAATGTAATGTAAATGTGCTCGCTCTAAATAACTGGTGAACCCTTGCCACCAGCCTAGTGAATCCTTGCCACTAGTTCTTATAGTGAACCCTTGTCACCAACCTAGTGAACCCGTTCCACTAGCTCTTGATGAAACTTTGCCACCTATATAGAGAATGCATACTCTGTGAATCAACTCACCCTTTAATGGAGCTTTAACACTGTGACAATTTTATAACTATTTAAATTAACTATTTAGGTTCGTATTTGAATTAAGGTTTACCTTCTTTAAATGGTTCAAAAGTAAAATCAATGCCAATCTAAATATTAAACTGAGCCTCTCCGATATTGTGTGTGTTTTAGATAAATAAAAAAATTATAAACCTTAATATATGTTTTAAGTGCCGTGGCCAGCGTTCTGTATATATTATCGCCGCATGCCTTTACGTAGTCTAAACAATCTGGAGTGATAAGCTTTTCTCCCTCGCTTTCTCTGTTAGGGATTGTATTAGGGGCAAAGTGGTGAAAAAATTATCGAAATAAATACTGCACGGAAGTTCTAATTTCGAAAGTAAAACATCAGTGTACTCCAATACAACAGAAGGCCCCAACCCTAAGTTTTGTAGCAATCCTTGATCTCAGATTTTGCTCCCTGATATGGTTTATACCAATAGCTGAAGCACCAACCCATAGTTTATACCCATACCTTAACGGCTTGCCTCGTATAAACTGTTTCCGGCCGAAGTAAGGTACCATAGCTTCCTCGACGCAATGAAACTCATCAATTGGGGCGAAATCAAGAAATCGACTATTTATTTTATCACAAAAGGGTCGAACCTTAGCAAATCTATCGTTCTTGTCCAAATTATTGTTATGTTTGGTCGGCATAAGCCGCTTTGCCCCTTTACTTAGAGCGGCATATGCCGCTTTGTCCGCGAACGTGTTAAAATACTTGCACTTATTTCTGGGGCACCGTGTATAATAATAAAGTACCTGCGTTTGAAATTAACCCACAACCTCCGCAGCTGCTGGGATGTTCTTGGAGTGTTAACTTCGGGCTGGGCGTTAAAAAATCTTATAAGAACCTCCCGGGCCCGGTTTTTTCCATTAACATCGTCCCGTCTGTCCGTTTGTTCTCTATCATGGCATGTTCCCTTGCCAACTCTGTCTATAGCATTTTTCCCTTTGCGTGTAGCACATAATTTTTTTCTTTGGCCTTTTATCGTTTCTGGTGGATAAAAACGAATTCCCTAGATCCAATCTATCCTAACCTAACCTAACCAAAATCCTGAGTAAATGTAATGTAAACCTGCTCGCTCTAAATAACTGGTGAACCCTTGCCACCAGCCTAGTGAATCCTTGCCACTAGTTCTTATAGTGAACCCTTGCCACCAGCCTAGTGAACCCGTTCCACTAGCTCTTGGTGAAACTTTGCCACCTATATAGAGAATGCATACTCTGTGAATCAACTCACCCTTTAATGGAGCTTTAACACTGTCACAATTTTATAACTATTTAAATTAACTATTTGGGTTGGTATTTGAATTAACGTTTACCTTCTTTAAAAGGTTCAAAAGTAAAATGAATGCCAATCTAAATATTAAACTGAGCCTCGCCGATATTGCGTGCGTTTTAGATAAATAAAAAAATTATAAACCTTAATGTATGTTTTAAGTGCCGTGGCTAGCGTTCTGTGTATATTATCGCCGCATGCCTTTACGTAGTCTAAATAATATGGAGTGATAAGCTTTTCTCCCTCGCTTTCTCTGTTAGGGATTGTATTAGGGGCAAAGTGGTGAAAAAGTTATCGAAATAAATACTGCACGGAAGTTCTAATTTCGAAAGTAAAACATCAGTGTACTCCAATACAACAGAAGGCCCCAACCCTAAGTTTTGTAGCAATTCTTGATCTCAGATTTTGCTCCCTGATATGGTTCATACCAAAAGCTGAAGCACCAACCCATAGTTTATACCCATACCTTAATGGCTTGCCTCGTATAAACTGTTTCCGGCCGAAGTAAGGTACCATAGCTTCGTCGACGCAATTAAACTCATCAATTGGGGCGAAATCAAGAAATCGACTATTTATTTTATCAAAAAAGGGTCGAATCCTAGCAAATCTATCGTTCTTATCCATATTATTGTTGTCACAACAATGTATATTTGACAAAATATGTTTAAAACAGTTTCGAGACATAGAATTAGACACTATATTATTATGACAATCAGAAGAATTTTCCCAAAACATTCTGCGTTTTGGAACCGAAACGTAACCACTCAAGAGAAGTATGACAAAAAAAAACTTTGATTTATTCTGCGGTAATATCGGACCTGTTGTTTTTACTAGCTGCGTAGTTATTAGTGTATAGTGTAAAAAACAAACATATCTATTATCTCCTTGCCAAAAAAGTTTCATACAGTATTCATATTAAAATTTCTAAACTCAGCATCATCTTCTTTGTTGTCCTGTGACTTGATGTAAGATGCAAAGATAAATATATTTTTTTGTTCACACCATTGCCATATATTTCGGGTAAGAGTTTTCAATTCTGGAAATTGCACTCTACCCATTCTATTTATATACGCAATGGCTGTCGACTTATCTATGCGAAAGACAACGTTACAATTATTTAAATTTCCTGCAAAACATTTTAACCCAAAAAAAACCGCCAGCAGTTCTAAGTAATTAATGTAAAAGGTTTGTTCTTTTTTATTCCAGAATCTGTACGTCTTTTGACCCTCGTAATAAACTCCCCAACCAGTTTTTGAAGCGTCCGTGTAAATTTCTAATTCAAATGAGATAAAGAGTCCAATCTGTTATTTGTATTTAAGGCCCTTTTCCACCATAATATATCATTAATTATTAATGACGGAATAATCATGTTATCGTTATAATTGTCGCCAGACTTTTTCAATTCTAAAAAATTTATTCTCTCAAATAACTTAGTGTATAGCCAACCGTAACGTAACATGCAGGCCATGCATAAATTTCGCAAAGTCCCTGATCTTGCATTTTTTATTTGTGCTAAGGAGCTTATTTATTCTTGTCATCTTTCTTGGCGGCAAATATACGCTCATTTCTGTCGAGTCATAACAAAAACCCAAATATTCGCATTTTTGGCTTGGAATAAAGCAGCTTTTCTGATAATTAATTATAAGGCCCAATTTATTTAAAATGTTAATTGTCCGATTAACATTTTCCCTACATTCTTCGAATGAATTTTCAATCAGCAGAAAATCATCCAAATATATTACGGAGAGAAAACCTCGATCCCGTAAGAAACTTATTATTGGTTTCATCAGTTTTGTAAATATATAGGGTGCACAGTTTAGACCAAACGGCATGCAGGTGTATTCATATATCGAGCCTTTATATTTAAATCTTAGGTATTTTCTATCAGATCGATTTATTGGTATAAAAAAATAGGCGTCTTTTAGATCAAGAGTTGCCATAAAACAGTTGGGTTTAATAAATTTTGAAACTATTTTGTGATCTTCTATTTTAAAATGCTTTGTTGGTATAAAAGTATTTAGACGTTTTAAGTTTAGGCATTTTAAGTTATTTTTAGATGGCAGCCTCTGGCTACCATCAGGTTTTTGTCTTGAAAATATAGTTGATAAGAATTGGCCTTTATGCGGAGAAACTTTAGTTATGGCTCCCTTCTTTAATAAGTCTTTAATTGAAACTGTGATTTCATTAGCTTGTAGGGTAGACCAAGACGGCTCTTTGGGGATCGTGTTTTGCCTTGGTTTTCTGAAAAATGGTATTCTTAAACCATTAACCCATCACAAAATATTTTTGTCAGTTGTCCTTCCAATTTTTAATAAAAATTTTAGTCTCCCGCTAATTTTACTAACCTCAGAAAATTCAACTATTTGTACTTCTGGAATTTTTGGTGGTTCCCTGAGGAGTTGCGGTACTGGCTTGGAGGTTGTCTGTTGTCTCTTCCTGTTGAATGATGTTGACTGTTTCTGGGTAGTGGTGTTGACGTCCGCCCTGACGCCCCCTCTGTGCTGGTCTGGGCAGACTTCTTGAGTTTAAAGGACTGCTATATTGTTGGTGGCTTTCACGGGGGCGATTAACAGCAGGACTGCTTTCATTGTTCTCCTCCCGAGATGACGAATGTCTTGGTCTTGGTGAGCCATCGACAGTATCTTCATGTCGGGGTTTGTCAGACACATCTGCGTGCCCCCTTTTTCGTCTTCGCGAAACCACTTGATCAGCGGTTTGCGGAGGACTGGCCGATTTGCCTCGTTCCCTGGATCGTAACTTTTCTTCCAGGTCCTTAATTCTTTCCATCGGGTACTTCCACTTGACCCCCTGAGGGCTATCACTATCTTTACGTTTTTTAGATCGGTTGTCCTTTTCTCGACTTTCACTTCTATCCCGGCGACAGCGGCGAGATTTGTCACGATTCGGCATGGTACGCGAATAAACAAAAATTATAGTTATATCACTGCAACTGACGACGCACTGTGTTAGTTGACACACGAAAGCAGAATGACGCAATGGGCGACTCGGCGAGCGGAGCTATAGATGAATTTTCTTTAAACTGTGTGGGTTGAGACTGCGATAAGGAGTACTACGTTATCTCTTATTTACGAAACGAGGCCGAAATATAATTGACTTGGTCATTTTTGCATGTACAATTTTGTTCATATTACAGACATGGCCAAACAAAAATACACTTTTATTTAATAAATTAACACCAAAAAAACAAGTTTATTTCTATTTTTTACAATAAAATATTTATAAATGCAAACAATAACGAAAGGGCTGTTATATTGACAGCTAAAACTAATCCTAATCCGATTCGGACCAAACTGGTAGCTCTGGTGCTACATCCTTCTTTGTATTTTCTGCTGGGATAGACTGATACCAGGCATGAAATTCAGAAGTAATACCTTCCGAATTCCGTCTTACATAGTTTTAAAAGGTCCTTTTTTCACATTTGAAATTGGAATCTATGTGGTATACAAGCGTGGTATTCCATTTGGCATGACAAGACTGTTTACATTGCTGCTACAACGTCCAGCTACGTTAAGCATACGAAACTCCGGATCACTATAATTGTACTTAAACATCATGAACTGAGGTTTAACTCTTTCATATCGCATACATTTAATTTTAAGACAGTTAACACGTTCTCCACTTTCGTCCATGGTTCTGTTTTTCAAAGTCATAACAACTAAGCTCTTTAGGTCGAAAAAGTCATTATACTTTAACTCTTGGGTCACTTTTTTTTATTTAGGCCGCGATTCGAACGCGCCAGTCGAAAAACATTCAACTAATCATGCATAGTATAAACAGGAACGTTCTTTTTGGCATTCTCTATTCCACTATGCATAGAGTCGACTTCCATGTAGGAATGGCCAGACTCTAAAAAATTGTGCTCTATAATATTTAAAGTGCTGTTTTGTACCATGAATAAAAATAAAGCGGCAATAAACTGATTCCTGTTCCGTCCGCTACAGGTATCAGAGAACAAACTTATTTCAGTGACATTATCTGGCAAATTTTGTATCTAACGGTACAGCCATGTGCCTATTTCCGAACTACCTCTCTGACCATTAATCCCAGGCCACGTGTAGCAATGGGCTTTCTGTGAAGGTGCCTCGTAAATTGTAAGATTATATGCACATAGCTTTCTGCTATAGTACCTTAGTGAAACATCTGAGGATGGTATTTGCAGAACGCTGTGCAAATCAAAGGTGACACTTACGAAACAATCATCAGTCATTGCACGCTCCTTATCTAATTTTTTTGCATTGTTTGCTTCGTTTCTTCTCCGAATATGACATTGGTAGTTTTCTTCTAGGTCAGCTGATTTTTCTTTCAAGTAGTTCGCACATGTCAAGCACTGGTCTTTTTTCAGCTTGAAAAAAGACAAGTTAAAGTTGTTGCAAAATATGTGGCGGTAGGTTATTTGGGATGTATATTCCTTATTTTTGTTTTTACAATCTTTGAAATAGACAAGTTTGCATCTAAATACTCTCGTTTAGTCGATGCTCTACAATAATGAGAGGCCATAGTCGGAAAACTTCGTGAGCATTTATTTCAGCAATGATTTGTGGTTCTGTTTTATTAGCAGGCTTTTTTTTACCACGTTTATCGTTTGCAGCAAATATTCCTGTTTCATTCACCCCAGAAAATGCCTTGTCTACCGGGCCATGGCTAATGCACAAAGTTCGCAAAAAACATTTTGCAAACTCTAACTTTCATAACAAAAAATAATAATACCGGCTGCTAGTTTTTTGTTCACCTTTCCCAAATCGAATTCTTCTGCAAGCAGGTTCTTTACTTGAAACACAAGAGAGAATAAAATCTTTTTGGCGATTGTAATCTAGTTTCCAAAATTCGGAACATAACAGGTCTCTAAGTTGGTCATCAAAATGAATTGAGCATTTAAACTTACAAGAACTGCAATTCGTGACTTTAGGTTTCTTTGCTGCTCTGATTATTCCTTTGGATTCGTATAGCAAACGCGACATTCTCTTCTTTTTATTAATATTTTTTCCAATGCGCAGGATCAGCTTTTTTCCAACGGCACATTCGTTTTGATAAGGGAGTATCGCTATCGGAACTTGATTCTATGTTTGATTGGCCCCTATTATCACTTGGGATATAATAGTTATCGCTACTACCTACCGAAAAGTCCGAACCATCATTTTCATATTGTGTAGGAACATTTTCCTGCCTTAAATGTTCATCAACAAGGGCATTACTTATCGTACTTGGGCAATCTTGCATTGCACTAGAGCATAATGAACACAATTAAAAAATGTTAAGTAGATAAGGAAAAAGACAATTAAACTAAAAGTATTTACCTTCGTCAATGTTGCTTGTCGCAGATAAAGTGGAGAGCCTTTGGACCAACGATTTTGAACAACACGGTCCTAAAAACAATACGTGTTATTAGTAGCTGGCCCTATTGCATCCTACTAAAAACTTTTAAAATGCACCGTCCGTTTACAATCTCAAAATATTTTTTCGAGTTCAACATAACCTCAAAATAGGTTAAATCGATAATAAAAACCAATAAAAACTATAAAACTCTTACCTTCCTTATATATATTTGAAGCAGTCGTTTCTGAACTATCCAAACACATTTGCACTAAAACTTTTCCTCTGGAAGCCATATTACGAGTACAAGCACAATAATTTCCTCAGATTTTCTTATTTATGCATGTAAACACACTGCCTGGGCATTAAAAAGTGACTAAGTCGTAAGGTAACTTGGGGTAACATCATTTTCAGCTTTTTATTCCAGTATTTTAACCTGAATGTGCAAAAAAAATTATTCTCATACCAAAACTTTTATTTATCATCAAATAACATAAAGAAATACTCTAAACAAAACAAATATAAATGAACTGCTAAAAGTAGTTTTTTTGAATAAATTTATTTATTTATTCGTGTCAGAAGCATCATCAAGATTACTTTTCATATACCTATAATATCACATACAACAACAATAATTACATATAATAATAATAATAGTAAGTAAATTGCAAACATAAAAGTTATACATGAAACCAGGAGTACATTAAAACATAGATATAAAACAAACATAGCATGTATAAACATCATTTGAGACGGAAAACTAAACATGTTTTGCCCAGAAGCGGGCGACGTCAATTGCGTTCGACTTTGCTGCCATAAGGTCCTCTATAGTGCACTTGGCGTGGCACAGTGGGCAAGTATACATATGTTGGGTGGTTTGTAGTGCTTCACATTCGCAGAGGTTGGAGTCCACATGGTAGCCCCACTTGGCAAGAGTGTCTCTCGATCTCGCTGTGCCCGTATGCAGTCTGTTAAGAGCTCTCCAAGTTTCCCAGTTTTCATCGCTTCCTGGTGCCAATTGTTCCTTCGGCTCCATCCAATGTTGATTTGAGGTCTTCTCCCAAAGGTCCACATTGGTTCTAGGTTCCTCGTAGTCTTCTGTCGATCGCAGGAAGCTTTGCATTGATTTCAATCGCTGATGAGCGGGTTGGATGCCGTAGAGTAGGTGGCGTTCAGTTGCTGTTGCTTTGGATCGTTCTTTGAGTGCAGCTGCCTCTCTACGGATGGCCGGAGGGGCGATGCCAGATGGTGGATCTTGTCCAGGGGTGTTGGCTTTAAGCATCCGGTGATGATTCTGCTTGTCTCATTGAGGGCGACATCAACTTGTTTTGCGTGCGCTGATCTTTACCAAACCGGGCATGCATACTCGCCGGTAGAGTGACAAACCGGGCATGCATACTCGCCGGTAGTGCTGACGTTTTTAGAACCTTAGGTTGGGCTCCCCAGTTAGAACTTGTCAGCTTGCGGATTATATTATTTCTTCCGCTCACTTTAAGTTTTGTATTGAGGCAGTGTCGCTTGAATGTTAATGCCCTATCCAGTGTTAGGCCCAGGTATTTCGGGTTAGGGCAGTGCTCCAATGGTACTCCCTTCCATTCGATCTGTAGTTTCTGCCTGCTTATTCTTAAGATGGAAGGCACATACCTGCGTTTTTGTTGGATTTGGCTTTAACTGGTTATGTCGGTAGTACAAATCCAATTGTGCTAGGGCCGCACTCAGACGTTGTTCTATCTCTTCGAATGTTTTCCCCTGTGATGTGATTGCCCTATCGTCTGCGTATATATAGTTTTTTGTGCCTTCAGGGAGGGGTTGGTCGTTGGTATAGATATTGAAGAGTAGCGGTGCCAGCACGCTTCCCTGTGGCAGACCATTTCTCTGGTTTCGCCACCTACTTCGTTTTCCCTGAAACTCCACCAGAAATCTCCGGTTTTGAAGCAGGTTCCTGATGATGTTTGTAAGATTAATATCTTTGGTTGTATGATATATCTTCTGCATCAGGAGTCGGAGATTGATGGTGTCATATGCTGCTGTGAGGTCGATGAAAATGGCACCCGTTATATATCCCCCTTGGAAACCGTCTTCGATGTGCTGAGTTAGATTGAGCACTTGTGCCGTACAACTTTTTTCAGGGCGAAATCCAGCCTGCTGCGGTATGAGAATCGGATCCACAGCAAGTGAAAGGCGGTTATATAATAATCTTTCAAAGATTTTATACGTGTGGCACAGCAGCGATATCGGACGGTAGCTCTTTGGGTCATTAGATTCTTTGCCTGGTTTGAGGACCGCTATGATCTTGGCTTTTCTCCAGATACTAGGGAGTTTGCACTGTTGTAGGCAGACATTGAACATGTCCAATAGCCACTGTTTTGCTTTTGGTCCGAAATGCTTGATCTGCTCAGTGAGGATGTCGTCTGGACCAGCGGCCTTCCGAGGTTTGTATTTCTTTATGGCGATGTTCAGCTCTTCCATGGTAAAGGGAGTGGACAGATTAGACGTTTCTTCACCCTCTATTCGGTTGATACTGGTTGCTTTCTTGGGGGGCATTTGGTCTGGCTTGCCATTTTTTACGAGCTGAGTGG